GCCGGATGTTGGTGGGTGTGCTGACTGCCGCCGCCGACACCAACACAGCGCCGCAGCGGCCGACGGAAGTTAGGCAACTCGGCGTGAGTCAGCCGGAAAGACTCAATCGCCAGTCAGAGTACCATATGTCTGTCATTAACCCCGAAAACCACTCACTGGACTATGATCAGCGAGCGAGCATTCACAGATCAAAAGGTCAGCCATCGCAAATTGGCTGCTGCAATCCCTAGCAGCGTAGGTGTGTGGGAGCTCTCCCGGCGGACAAAAAACTCTGATTTCTTCAGAAATTCTTTCACCATCCTGGAAACAATAAACCGTCTTTTGTGTTCCTCACTCGACGAGCCGCACGCCATCTAAGGTAGAACACAATGCACCTACACCGCGTCAGAGCGGTGCGCTGCAGTGCCTTCTCGGGAATCGTTTCCGTATCATTTCCGGTGGTCTCTCCCGACCGGAAAGACATGCTGTAGCGCGACACCCACTCGATAGTGGGGCCTCTGGCTCCGGCACTGTCCTGTCTGGGAGGATATAGACCGGTAATGAGCGCCGTATCTCCGGAGGAAATCCCTTGGTCGGCCAGAGCGGGATGCAGGAGCGAGGATAAGAGCGGGGATAGATGTCGCCGGAAAGGGTGGGAGAGGAGGTACCTACCGTGCGTAGAGGTTAAGTCGCAGTTCAGCGCACGAACGTTCAGAGTCATATCATTGTGCTAAGCATGTGATAACGTGTTTAATCACAAAGGCTTATTTTTCTCAGGCATTGTGTATTACCAAAAATGATCATATAAAAAGATGCGCCCCAAAAAGAATTGTCCCTTGAAGCGTCCGGCTGCACTTGTGAGGCACTAAAGTGACGCTGCATTTAACTAGGGATGTGTTGTGCACTATGGGTGCACTACTGTTGACGCAATTCTTCCTCATCCCAGAGATCGATCTTAGGCGCATACCAATTATAAATACACATGTGACGGCTCTGTGCTGAGTACATGGGCTTTGTTTTCCCAGAACCCCATGGACGAAGACGATCTCTCTGCGCTGGAAGAAGCTGCGGCGTATCCACTAGCTCCTGAAGCATCGTTTGGCACCTCTCCTTCCATTGATGTCGTAGGCGTTACTTTTAAACTGTTGTCTTCTCCGTATCTTGAGTCAACTGTTGTGACGGATGACCCAAAGTTTGGCGCGCCGGTCGATGCAGCCCCGGCTGTTTGTGCTCGTGCAGAGTCCAGCGTCGACCCCCGGCTGGGTGAGGCCGAAATAAGGCAACAAATTGGCCACCAGGGTGCCGTGCAGGATATTGACACCTTGATGAGTTTACAGCCGGGCGATCCGAGCCGGCGCGCCGGTGAGACACTGGAGATTGGATTACCGGCTGAGGAGAAACAAGTGAAACATCAGGAGGTGGCCTCGACCGAGGACACTGTGGCTGGTGTACAATGCCAAAGGACAGATGGCGCTGTAGAAAGCCGAACAGAACATAAATCTGAACATTCTCCTCCTACACTTGGGAATGAAGATAAAAACGTCGATCCTGAATGCACACCAACTGTTAAAGAGCACGAAGTTCCTTCCATTGGGGGAGAGGGTATGGACAACTTAGCAGCACCAGTTATGGATACAAAAGAAGCTCGTGTAGAGGCGTTGGAAGATGAATCTGTGACATCAGGAGACGTGACGACCCGGCCGGTTTCCGCTAGCGACGGGCCTGAGAAACTTCCGCTCTCTGAACTTCACACTGATAATGAAGCGCCCGCAACCGCTGACACAAATAACCAGCTGGGACAATCTAGCCCCTTGTTTGATGAGTCTCTAGTAAAGACAAACAGCGCACAATGTGAGAAAAGTGGGGACATTCTGACTCACCAAAAACAACAAAATGAAGGATCGACGGTCGGTGGACCCAGCACAGATTCTTCAACGATAAATGCTTGCGGACAAAACGATCAATGTGAAGGTTTGCTTAACTCGGCAAAACTGATTGAGAACAAGCCAGGGAGTTTGGTGGTCCCCAGCATGCCAACATCCCTGGGAGGAGACAGTATTGAATATCCGAGTAAATTGAAGGTTGATGCGTCTCCCCATTTGCACAATGAAGCAATTATGGATGCGCCGTCCTCCGGTATGTCATCACAGTCGACCCACGCTGAAGCTATTGTTGGAGAGTCGGAACAATTAACCGAGCAGGAGCTGCATCGGAATCGTTCAGCTCCGCCTCTCCGAGAGCCGGTGTTTATTTCCAGCGCTACTGATGGCTGGAATGAATCGATACTAGCTGCCGACTACGCCAATTTGGCAGGTGACTTCGATGATACAGTAGTCAAAGAATCTGCCGGGCTGAACTTTTCAGTAGCGGGCACTTCTCCCGCTCCAGTGGAAAAGAATGTTCAAGATGAAATGCCGGACAGTTCGGACGGCACGACACCGCCTGGCCTCGATGAAATAGCCGACGTACTATTACGCCCCCGTCAGCCGTCAAACACTCCTCTGCCAGGGCAGCTGTCTAACACATTGGAATCGATTCACAATCAAGAGACTGGATCAGATCACCTAAATGACTTTCCATCAACCAAAAAAGAGCAAGATTCATCAAAGATGCAAATGAAACAGCAATCAAATGCGTGCTCAGCGGAGCTTTCCCAAACTGATCCGAATTCCAATCGGGTGTCCAGCCTGCTAGAGACAGAGCCTAAGGCAGGAGAATTGGCTGAGATTCCTCTGAAAATGAATGAGCTACCAAATGTTCGATCAGACCCACAAGCTGCACCTGAACTACTCGACGCGAATGGCTCGTCCACGCTCTCAAAAGGCTTGGACGAACGATGTTCCGAAACGGCCATTTCGGAAGACAAGATGGAGTCAGCGACGTCGTCCTCGATTGTGTCTCGACCTCGTGCCCAAATCGTTCCGCCCGAGTTGCCGGCCTCCGATGGGGTGTACCGCCCTGCTGAACCACTGAATTCTTCCAGTGCATCAGCTGAACCTGCTAACCTGTCCGCCGATGCTGCCTCAGGCCAGCAACAGAACCCTTCCACCCCATCCCAGGTGGAACAGACCTCTTCAGCTACTCCCACGCAGGCTCAGATGTTATTCATGTTCAAGGTCAGCGGGGACGTTCGGCATCTCTATCGAAAGGACTGATTCCATTGACCTTTTTGTAGGTCAGTGAGTTATAAAAGCAATAACTTTCTCCCCAATTCACTTCGTTTAAAAATGAAGACACATTTATTTCTTCACACACACACACACACACACACACAAAAGAATCACTTGAAACTAATTCACTTCTTCGCTATTCACCACTCCAGCAGGCGCTGTAGTTATATGGCTAAAATGCTGTTATATATAAAATGCTGTTATATGCCATTATAGTAGCATTTTATGATCGATACAGGCGACAAACTTATCTTCTTTACCAAATAAAACTATCGCTGAAAAACTTCAGTATCCGGATTCGAGTCTAAAGTTGATTTCGCGAATCAATTAGTGGAAGCTTATCGCTTATTCTCTACTTATAAATCCATCTTTGCACTCTCGGCGTTTAACTCCGTCTGAATATATATCCAAAGAAACTCCAAACTTTTGCATCCCCAGCGGCTTTTCCGCGTATGATGTGACTGTTTGCTGAATACCTGATTGTCAGGATGAATTCCTGAAAAAGGATGTGTATACATATAAGAAGCGGTTCCCTGAATTCGAACTTTTCTTGCAGGTCCCTAGGCCACATCTGGTGGAAGCTCGAACTGAAAGCGCAAAGTCAGAATTAGTTTCCCTTTGGAAAGCGGACTTGGTTCATGTAATATGTGAAAAGTGCATTGCTTTACATATAATGGTTCGATCGGCCATTAAAACGCACTTAACTCGTATCTATAGTGATATTTTTGTAGACTTCTTAGTTCTCACGATCTCGAGATCTGAGCTAAAAAAACATAGCGGTCATTAAATTGAATTATTCATTATTATACAGTGGTATCATGGTGATATGTTTAAAAAAAAAATGACTTTCGCTACAAGCATAATATCTTTAGCTACATTCGTGATGCCGTTCATTCAAAATAGCCTGCCTTCGAGTTCGGAATATCAATTCGAAATAGCATACCGGTAAATTATATGTGTACATAGCAAGTATGAAAGTAATCGTAGCACTGTTGAGGCAAATGATAAGATGCATCAGCATTACGCAATGCCTCACGCAACGCATCACCACTAAAATATTGCATGCCAATTGTCATCATTTCTCGGCCAAAGACTTGCACTATGGAAGAACAGCTGCATATTCAACACCGAGGCCGTTACAACACTACAGCTGACGACATGCAACAGGCGGATATCAGTTCCTGCCTTTGACAGTTCAGAGCACTTTTCGTTGTATTATGGACAGCTACTCACTCATTGCTACCTGTATCCACCATCGCTGTTATTTTTAGATGGGTTTGAACTTGACCCAAATTTTCTGTCGAAGTTTCTTCTTCCACATTTGTAGTTGACTGCAGAGCTGATGTTCTCTTCCTCCAAGATGCCTGTGTTTTGCTTCTAAGGTA